AGTTTTCCTCTATTCTGTATATGGTATGCCACCACAGGATGGCTTGAAAAGCGGTGCATAGGTCCACACCTGGGATCTGAACCTGCGAACCCTGGGCCGCTGAAGTGGAGTGTGCAAACTTGACCACTACACCATTGGGCCAGTCCCTCCCTTCACTTTTTCTATTTGTTTTTACTTTCTCAGTCATTAAGTTTTCCTCTTTTCATCTATTTCCATGATAAAACAATATTGAGTAAGACAGAAGAGACAATGGCAGAAAATTAGATAACTTAGTGAAACAGATAAACCCCGAGGAAGACACATACTACTAAAACTGGCTCAAGAAGAAATACAAAGTCTGAAAAGACCTGTAATAAATAATGAGTGAAGTAGAAGTCAAAAAACTACCCACGAAGAAAAGCTCAGGACCAGATGACTCATTGGTGAGTTCTACCAAATCTTCAAAGAAGAATTAACCCCAATTCTTCACAAACTCCTCCAAAAAACAGAAGAGGTAGAGACACTTCTCAACGCATTTTACGAGGCCAGTACTGCCCTGATACCAACACCAAAGACATCGCGAGAAAAGAGAACTACGGACCAATACCTTTTATGAATAGGGATGGAAAAATCCTCAACAAAATACTAGTAAACCGAAGTCAACAACACATTAAAAGGATTACACACCATAACCAAGTGGGATTTATTCTAGAAATACAAGAAATATGAGACAAATAAGAAAAGCAACACACAATCCTACTCTCAGGGGAAGTTTTGGTGTGAAGACCATACGGCAGCATGTCTCCCAATCCTGCACCAAGCACTGGGTTCCTGGGTCTCGGGTCTGTGGGTCAGGGAGGGTGGGAAGTGAATGAGGAGCCAGGGGGTGCAGTGTTGACCCTCTTCTAGGAGGAGGAGGGGGGCTCTGTCCCGTGTGCTGGACTGAGAATTGTTCTCTGATCTTCTCACCCATCTGTTGAGCTACAAAGATCAGAGACTCAAACAGCTTAGAGCTGGGCAGCCTTTAGAGACAAATTGGTCCTGGCTTCTATTTCGCAGATGAGGAAAATTGAGGACCACAGAGGCAGAGTGACTTGCTAATGGTCAGGGAGATAACTGGTGGAGCCGGGGCTGGAGCGCTCTCATCCAGCATGGGAAGCTTTCCCTCACTCCAGCTGCATCCATTGTTGTCCAGTTGCTCAGAGTGGATACAATAGACCTGGCTGACCTTGCACTGGTGGATATCAGGAAGATGACAATAATAATGATAATAATACTTATATAGTACTTACCTTGTGCTATGCAAGGTATTAAGTGCTTTGTGTGCATTAACTTACTTAATCCCCAGAGAAACCCTACAAGGTAAGGATACCAATGTTCCCATGCTACGGATGAAAACACTGAGGCAGAGAGTGGCTAAGTGACTTGTCAAGGTCACGGTCCAGCACGTGGCAGTCTGGCTCTTTGCACAGTTAATCCCCATCCCCTGCTTTCCTCTTCAAGGGGAGAATAAGAAAAGCCTCTTTAAAACCTGGTGGCCGACTTTAAAGTGCTCCCCATGTGGAAGGACATCTCTGTCCATTTTATCACTGGCTGGAACATCCTGGTCCAGGGACCTGTCTCCAAGACTCTCCCAGATTTTTAGACTTTGATGGGGAGAAGGTGGACCACGGCACTCACTGATACAGGGTTTCTTTACCTTGGGGTCCATGGGCTTCAGGGGGAGACCCTGATCTTGAACTTGTATGCAAAATGTTGTGTAACTGAGCTTATGGAGACATAGATGTCTTTAGGGTTGTGACGACTGAAGTGTTCCTGTCCTGTAAGGCTCCTGGGGGTGAACCTGCATCTTCGTCATTTCTTTACATCCCATAATGCTTTCAGAGCCTTGCCCTAGAAGCTCTTCAGAAAAGATCTGTGCATTCACGGACAAAAGAAGGAACGAAGGCCTTCCCCTCCTTGTGTGTGTTGATGGCGAGGTGGTGCTGTGGGCAGAGGTATACCTTCCATCTCCACTCAGGTGAGCATGGCAGACAGGGTGTGAAGTCTGAGTGCACTGTCAGCCTTGGAAGGTCACCCGGGGTCACCAGTCTTCACTGAATCCCCCATCATGACTCAGGATGCCATGGCTCCCTTGGTCAGGACCAAAAGAGGCTCCAGCGTGGGGTCCAGAGCTCTTGCTGCGTCTCTGATCTGACCGGTGCTCAGTGGCCTGTGGATGTCACTTGCAGCTCTTTCCTTCGCTGCCCAGACTCGTGTCTCATCCCCAGATACAGAGGATAACAGGAGGGCAAGGAGCCTTAGAGTTTCGAGTACCCTCATGTTTCCGACATAGAGCTCCAGCCACAGATGAACGGACGCCTTAAAAAGAATCCATACGTTGAATTGACCTATAAGGCGTTAGCTTCTTCTTGACCTCGGAACTGTCCTTTGCAAAAAATCCTTATGGCATCATAGACCAGTACCTTCAGGGTCCCTGGTTACTGGGGAGGTGGCCTTCCCACAGGAAAAGGCAATTTCACCCTAAGCATTTCTGCCACCCCAGTGCCCACGGGGGCACACCCTTGACTGGAGTCGCGTGCAGTCCAAACCGACTGGACGCCAGAGGGCACAGCAGCAGTTCGGTATCTGATTAACCATAGGGAGTGAAACGACCTCCCCATTTCCTTCATTAAACCTGCCCTCTCCGGCTGTCACCAAGGCACACAGTAGGGGCTCAATAAACGTTTGTTGCATTAATGACTAATGCCTCTATCTCATCTGGAACTAAAGTAGCTGAAAGCTGTCCACACCTTCAAGATGGCCTTTGTTTATTTCTTAAATCCAGAGAAAGCACAGAACACGGTGAGACCAGTACAACGAGAGTCACGGGGTAAAACCCGCAGAAGCTCATTGGTTCTGACAAGGACAACTGCCCTCAGGGGTCTCTCCTAGCGAAGGTTAGCAATGGCTCCTTCACGTATCTGTTTATGTCCTGTCCCCGACTGCTGACCTTGAGGGCAGAGGGACTGTAGCCTACAACCTTGCATCCCTAGCATCTGGTTGAGCCCTTGACACACAGTAGGGACTCGGGAAGAGCTGCTGAATGCACGTGAGGTTATGCACACAGTGTGTGCAAACACACGCACACATCAGAGGGGTGATCAGTGGGTGCTGTGGTCAGAGTCCTGGTTAGCTCTGTCCTTACGGGACATTTGCTGTGCACCTGCAAGTAGGTGAGTAAGACTTCTGAGCATGGATACACTTGTCCTTAACGCCTGTGCACTTGAAGGATGCAGTGTGTGAAGTGAGCGTGGGTGTGGGAGTCATCAGACTGAGTTTGGATCCGCAAATTAGCGGCTGTATGCCCTTGGGTAGATGATCCACCTCTCCTAGCTTAAAAAAGAAGAGAGGATTGGGGCTGGTCCAGTGGCATAGTGGTTAACTTTGCGCACTCTGCTTCAGCAGCCCAGGGGTCATGGGTTCAGATCCCGGGCACGGACCTACCACTGCTCATGAAGCCATGCTGTGGTGGGGTCCCACATACAAAAAATAGAGGCAGGTTGGCACAGCTGTTAGCTCAGCAACAATCTTCCTCAAGCGAAAAGAGGGAGATTGGCGACAGATGTTAGCTCAGGGTCATCCTCACCAAAAAAAAAAAAAAAAGCGAGAGGCAAGCATGCCTGTTTCCCACTGTTGGTTTAGGATTAAACAGGATACTGATTATTGAGTGCCTTGAACACAGTTGGGGCTCAATGAATGTAATCTCCTTTCCCGTGGGCCTGTCTATTTACTCTCTCTGTCTTCACTTTCCTCCTCCAAAAAATAAGGAGGGGTGACCCTTAAGGGTCATTTGTGTGGGCGAGCATGGACAAAACAAGATGTCGCATGATCACTTACGGAGCAGAGCAGCGAGGACCGGTACGTATATATACTTTCTTTTAAAGATGAATTATTAGCAAAGCAAAACGAAACAACACAAACTAGACACCACCACGGCCAACAGACACACCCAGCCAGGTGCCGCTGGTGGCACAGCTGTCACCCTGGCTGTGACCCGGCCGGAGGGGCCCTGGGATGGAGCCATTTCTCTTGGCCCGAGTGCTCAGAGACTCTTGAGACTGTTGGCTTTCACCTTGTGGTTCTTTATACAGAGAAACCAGGTGTCCAGAGGGCTGTCATTCCCCACTTCTGCCCCCAAATGCAGGTCTTGGACCTGTTTGTCACGCAAACTCTGTTGTGGGTGATTCAGGTCCACAGGAGCAAACAGTGCCCGGGGCCACAGACCGGGTCCCCTTCAGAAACACAGACTTTCTTTAGGGAAATTTGTTCCAGATAGAGAAAGGCCATTGCCTTAGAGACACGGAAGGAATTTTAAGGCACTGAGGGTCAGGGCCGGGCCAGGCTGTGATTTCAGGGGCTCATGGGAAGACTCCCCATTCCCCAAGTCTCCCACGTGCAGCCTGGAAACAAAGCACGCTGTCCACAACTCCGTGGACGCACAACCTGCGAGGCACTCGCTGAGTCTTGCTGTGAAGGAATGAACACCTTGTCTGATTATTCACACTAAAGTGTGAATGGCTGATCTAAGATGTGGCTGAAAGTGGGGAGAACTGGCAGCACTCTCCACTGCACACTTAAAGTGGGGGTGGGAAGGGTCCGCACAGATTGAGGCAAAGGAACAGAATGGGACAAGGGACTATCCAAACAGCCGGCCCTGCATTGGTTGCTGTATCTTGTCCTCCAGGCAACACCTTGGTTCCGTTAAGGGGTTTTCCATCACGAGGTGCCACAGCTGTTTCTGGAAGACGTTTTGCACGTGGACCTCCCCTTACACAACCCTCAACAAGCCAACCGCTCGGCGGCCATAAGCCTTGGTTGGACCTTGTCTTACTTTCACACTTCCCTCCCCTCATCTGAGCCCTGCAGTCGCTCGGTCTGGAAGCTTGCTAGACGTGCCTGGCTGTTACTGGGTTAGCAAACACAGAAGCGGAAGAGAAGCCTTGCAGGGAGCTGCGGCCCCAGCTGCAGGCGGCCCCTACCATGTCGCTCTGCGACTGCGTGGCCCCGTACGCGGCCATCCCATTGGAGGGCGCAGCTGGCTGGGGTGTGTCAGGCAGGATGTACCCTCTTCTGTCAATGAGGCTACAAGAGAGAACAAAACAAAACAGGAGGGAAAGAGTGAATAAAAAGCCGAAGACGCCATCAAGGCTATTTTAATTTCCATCTCTGTGGACCCCCTCTCTCTGTGACGGGCCCCACCTCAGGCACCTTGGGATGCACCTCTGCTCACCTTCATGTGTAATCAAATATCAAATTCTGTTCCTTTTGCTTTTAATGATGCCTGCAGCACCTGTTCCCTCCCTGTCACCACTACAGAGCCCCGCCTCGTCCGCTGGCCTCACTGCCACCAGCCTTGGCCCCTCCCGTCCACGGCCCACATCACCATCACGCTCAATTCACCCCTCCTGCTCGCTCAGCTTCAAGGCCTCACACAACCTGGCCCCAGCTTTCCTGTCCAGCCTTAAATCCACATCTTTTTGTTGCACACGGTGTTCCTAGGGTCCTGGCTTCAACGAACGTGTCTGAGCACCTGCTGTATGCACTGCACGAGAACAGACGCCACAGACCTCATGGGTACTCTGTGCTGTGCCATCCCTGTATTTTTGTTCAAGCTCTGTTTTTTTCTTGTCCAAAGTCACTTTCCCTTCTCCTCCCCTGTCCATTCTTCCTGGCCAGGGTCAAAAGCCCCAGCCCTGCTCTTGCCCCTGTACTCGCTTTCTTCCCTTATCTGCTTCTCCCAGCCCTGCATGCTATCCTTCCCATGTGCATGTCACTGTTTGCCTGGTGTCACAGTGATTTGATACGATCTCATCCAGCAGCCTGCAAGCTCCCGAGGGCAGTCTTCATCCTTTCTTCCCCCACAGCCCCTGGCCCATGTCCCCGGATTCAGGGCACATCACTGTGCCCTTGGAGCCCCCTGGGCACCCGTGTCACATCATGTTGGCACCCCTGTTTCCACACTTGCACCTGTCGTGGAATGCAAACTCCATGAGGGCAAGAACTGGGTCTTCATAACTCTTGTATCTCCACGACTGATATCCAGCAGGAGCTGAGCAAATGCCTGTTCACTGAATGAATAAAACGGCAAGTTTTCTGCATAACGTTTGTAAAGACAAAGGCAAGGGGGGAGCTTCACCTTGCCATCCAAAGAGTTGGCCTTTGCGTCTCTCTGAGTGAGGGCTCAGTGTTGACCTTGAGTCTAAGGCAGAACTGCAAAGGGCAACAGGAGGTTCGGCTAATACGTGGGTGGTCCCCGTGTGGCCTCCCACTGTGTGGGGCTGGGACCACATTCCCAGCACAGAACCTGCCCGGAAGTCCTCAGCACCTTCTGTGAAACGCCCGAAATGCATCCCCATGTCCACAAACACCCCCCATCCCGAGGGTGAGGGCCAGGCTGCTGAAGATGCTCCTCCTTGTCAGTCTGGCCCTCAGAGGACGGGAGCCATCATTGCAACGACGACCTTCAGGTCTCCAAGTGACAGAATAACAAGCTTTTGAAAAATACTTGTGGCAGGATCTCGAAATGGGACTCTCTCTGCTTCAATTTCAGTTAAATCCCCAGAGGTTCAGAAAAAAAACAACAGGCTACAAGAACCCCCATCCTCCAAAGGGAGGCTCTGGACTCCCCATGTAGGACCAATGGGGGTTCTTAGACCTGGTTAGACCCACCTTCATGGGTATAAAAGATTGAAGGCCAAAAGAGCAAAGGATGTCTTGGGAAAGGAGTCATCTTCACCGGCTGATGAGATAACCCGGGAGGAGGCTGGGAGCCGGAAGCTGGGCCAGGCCAGGCTGAGAGGCCAGATGCAGGTCCCCTGGGACACAGCCAGTGTGGAGCTGGCTGGAAGGGGCATCTCGGGGGTTGAATTATATTCCCCCAAAAGACAAATTGAAATCCCAACCTGGGTAGGATGAAGGAGTGGAAAGTGTTCACTTTCAATCAACTTCAGAGTTCTGATTCACTGAAATGACACTATTTTGGAGGAAATGAAAGTGCCCTGAGTCTTTTTTTTTTTCTAAGTGACAGGAGAAATTAAGGGCCTTGCAAGGGATTTCATCCAGGGGCAGAGAAAGAACTAGGTCATCAAGAGAGTCTGACGGGCCCGCAGGGAGAAAAGACAAAGTTGTTGTCAGGCTGCATCCTATGAGTTCAGCTTGTTTAAGGGACCAGCCACGTGCCCAGGGCCGTGGCACTCCTCCCCAAGTCTCCTTCTGGCCCTCACAATGGCCCACATGGGTCGCGTTCCCCTCATCTCGTCTCTTGCCTTGCCCCTCCATGCGTCCCTCACTCCTGCACACTAACAACTGCTTCAGTTCCTCCTCTGACAAGTCAGGCTCCCCCCTCACCTCTGGGCCTTTGCACATGCTGTTCCCTCTGTCCCTTCTCCCATAATTCTTTTCCCTCAATTCCTACTGATCCTTTAGAAGAGATCACAACTTAGACCCTCCTCCTCTGGGGAGCCCTCCCAGGAGTCCCACGGAAACAGCACCCCGCCTGCCCCCATCACAGCCCCTCCTTCACTGCAGACTTGCCATGGATGGGTCTGTATCGCCCATGAGATGCACGCTCTCTCACGGGCATCTCCAGCACCCAGCACGGAGCCTGCCACACAGTGCGTGCCCAGTAACAGTGGCCAAGTGAATTCTTAACGACTTGTGACCCACAGCACCAGCTCATAGGGCCTGACCCTGACTACACCTTGGGATTTCTGTCTTTCCGACTTTCCATTCCTCCTGCCAGACTTGTATGGGGATCTCCTTCCCAAGACCTGGCCACTCCCACTCACTGCCACCCGCTGGGGACACTGTGAAGGGAACTGACGGTGGGTCTTTGCCCTGGTGGTCTGTAGCTCTCACCGGGAAACGTGAAAAGACACACATTCTCTCTCTCTCACGAGCACATCGTTACCCCATTTAAGAGCATTTTAGACGCAACTCAAGTGCCTGATTCTGGGCCCACAGGTGGCTCTTAGCCCCTGTCTGAGGTGAGGGACACCGCTCAGCAGATGGGCCTGAATGATGTGGGGCAGAGGGAGGAGGGAGCAAGGAAGCCCACGGGAGGGCGGAGCAAAGGCAAACGCCACGCCCGCTCACTTCTGCCCAGACCGGCCCTGGGGAGCCCATGGGCAGAGCGGGAGGGATCAGTGGCCCATCTTCCTCGTGCAAACCCTTGAGCAAGTCAAGGGGTTCCGAGAGGAGGCCCATCCTTGAGAAGTGCCCCAGCCAGAGCGACATGGATTTTGGAAGGAATACAGCCCCAACTCAGCCAAAACAGCATGCTGAATCCAGTTGTGGAAGAAAGGATTTCAGTTGTGACAAGACTTGATCTATAAACAATACAGAGCGGCGCCAAATGCAGATCGAGGACTCGGGAACCAGAGAAGAGATTTGGACAAAACAGGAGACTTCCAGATTCCCTTCCTGGATTCAGGCGCACGGTTTAGATACAGGGAAAGATGCTGGCTCAGATCTCCTGTCTCTTACGGCCCTCCTAGGCCTCCAGTCTGCGTTTCATGTCCTGTCCACGCTTTCCACAAAGAAACACATCAACAGGAAACACCAGCCAACTCGGGAAAAACCAAGCACTTCCTGACGGTCTTTGTGGACTGCAGAGCCCCAGGAGGCAGGCTGGGTGAGTCCGGGGCTCTCCTGGAGAGTCATGGGGCTCTCTGAGCCCCTGCTGAGTGGTGTCCCTCACCTCAGACAGGGGCTAAGAGCCACCTGTGGGCCCATAATCGGGCACTTGCGTTGACTCTAAAATGTTCTTAAATGGGGTAACGATGTGCTCATGAGAAACACACACACACACACACACACAGAGTCTCTTGGTGGAGCACTATGCCTTGGCTGGCACCTGCCTGGGCATGCCTGTCCCTCGGCCTAAGGCAGCCCCTCCATCCAGAGACCTTGGGTACCCCGTCTTGCCAGCACGCCCCCGAGGAAGCCTCTGAGGGGCAGGTCAGAGGGAACACAAGGGCCCCCAATTCTGGAGGAGAGTGGCACACTGAGCTCCCAACTTTCTAGGCTCAACCTGGAAAATAATCAATTTCTAATTACCCAATAGCACCAGTAACCATAACCCGGGACCAATCAATAAATGGCCTTGGAACATATGCCTGGAATTTTTAGAGGGGAGCATCACTCTTACCCCTTTAATGATGTTTCACTGAAGCGGATAATAAAATTAAGTTTGCATTCCGGGAGCACATACCCCTGAGGACCAGCCTTGAAAGTCTAGGCGAAGAGTGGGGCTGCCCTGGAGCCAGCCTCAGTGGTTTTGTGGTTTCTCTCCATTTTACACATTTAGAGAACAAAAGGGAGGAAGCAGTAACGGCTTGGAAACTCATTCTACAGACCTGGAATACTTGCGCAATAATTATTTTTGATGATTGTTTGATTAATCTGTTGGAAATATTCTACATGGGTGTAACGCACAAATAATCAAGAATCAACTGTATTTTGGACCCAGAGGTAGTGTGTACCAGTCAACACACACACTAGTTCTGATGTCATATGCCTGGGTTTGGGTCCTGACTAGGCAGCATTTACTGGCTGTGTGATCTTGGGCACATTATTTAACCTCTCTGTGCCTCAGTTTCCTCTTCTGTACAATGGGATATAATAGTACCTACCTTATCGGTACAGAGTGGGCTTTGAAAAGTTAATAGATGCAAAGGACTTAGGGCAGAGCGTAACATAACACTCTTCAATAAATGTCAGCTGCTGCCATTATTAATATTATTACTGTTTTATCATCACCACATCTTGACTCCTTTGGCCCACATTTATCTTTCCCTCTGAACTATTTTAGCATTTATCTTCTGTGCAACTCAGCCCTTAGCACTTACTTATTCCTACAGGTTTTCTAGTTGCTTCCTACCTGTGTGTCCTGGCTCCCTTACTACGCTAACCACAGCTCCCTGCGCATCACGGATGCGCAACATCATACAATAATTAATGGCATCACATCCGTCAGTTTCTCTACATTGATCCTTAGAGGATTTCCCCCAAACTTGACAATTCAGTGGAAGAACCAAAAAGCTGCTGAGCACAACACAACAAATGGAGCCAGGTCTCTATTTCATTGAAGCCATGTCTGCACAGCGCAACGCGGAGGGCTGAGCTGGTCCTTGCAGGGGTGTGAGCAAACCCACCAGCAGAGGCCAGCTCTCTACCCCGGGGGCCTGTGCTAAGACAGCTAAGGTGTCTGCTTTCCCAAGGTCAGTTCAAGGGCACGATGCCGTCTGAATCTTACCTGGGAGAGATGGGCCCACACAGGGCAACACAGCAGTTTGTAAAGATATTCCCGTAGCTGTAGGGATTGTAATTTTCTTTACCTCTTTTATTTGACCAAGAGCCTTTAATCTGCAAGAAAAGGAGAGTCAATAACATACAATAGCCTTCATACCGATGCCCCAGTTTAGGCAAATGGGACCACGAGAAGCGTGTAAAGAATGCAAATAATCTATTCATTTCATCAGCAGGAGAAACTGAGATACTTTTCTCAAGAAAAACTGGCTTTTACTCCCAAATTTGGAAATATCCCAAAACAGCAGGTCAGATTAGGGAGAAAGGAACATTCTCTGGGGACAATAATCTCTGATTTCTCCTACGTGGTAATAAAAGGCCAGCTCACATGAGCAAGTGGAGATTTTTTTCACACTCACATTTAATGTGCTAAATAGTAACTAGTTGAATGGTGGCTGAAAGAGTTAACGCAGCTCCCTAATTCCCAATTTATAGCCTGGCTGAATTCACCCTCGGGGTTGCCAAAATAATTTCATAGATACTAATATTCATAGTTACTAAACACTAATAAGTATCTTAATATTCTCTGAACTTGCATATCTCATCAACACCAATTTGCTCAAAACTTTAAGGCAGCCTGACTGATTCTGAGACATTTAATTCATTTATTGATAGATTCTTGTGTCAGAACCCAAATATTCAGAGAAAAGAGGACCAGGCTCACGAAGGAACATTCTCCAACATTCCATTTCCAGTTTTTATACGCCGCTCTCCATCTGCCTTAGGTATAGGCAGATAATCTTGGAGCAAAGGTGAAACTTTGGGGCAGGGCAATCTCCTCCAAAAACAAAAGGAAGATATTAAATATGAAAGGCAGACATGCGCTCACCGCGAGATGTCAGCCTGCCATGGTCTCTCTTCAGTAGGGGAGGTGTGACAAGTTGCTTACAAAATGATTTAAAAGGAATAGAACAGAATCTCTTCCTCGGGGCTCAGAATTGGGTGTCACGTGGCCGATTCTAGTCTCTTAATTGATGTGGTCAGAAAGCAAGGTACTTGAGAGATTCCCAATGGAGAAACTGGAGACAGGGTATGAAAATGCTTCCACCGCACACTCTTCACTCCCAGGCACTCATGTCTGGGATGGGATGTGTGGAAGATCTTGGCCCCTGACCTTTTCGTCCCCTCTTCCCCCCTGTTTCTGAGCACAAAAGAACATGCCCACGCCCCCTACTGCCAGGAACTTACATCTTCATTCGTCGTCTGGTTGGAGCTGATCAGGTATGTGTGGAAACCCGAGAGCCCCACGATAGACCAGACGGAGAAGAAGCACACCACGGCCTCCAGCACGGTGACCCGGAGTCAAGGAGGTGAACCGGGAGGACGGGAAAGGCTCTTCAGGTCCCCAAGGAGCCGGGATGACTTGCAATTTGGACAGAAAACACCCAGAGACACTTAATCAGGCCTCTTGGGTCTACCCAGCCTCATGGGGTTCATCCCAACCAGAGGGAGAGCCCTCAGGGCAGGCACCATGCCACGCTCTGCTTCACCTTCTCGGCACTCGTGCGTGGTCAATGACTGGGGGCTCCCTCGACATTGCTTGTCTGCTTTTACATGGTTGACAGCTCCTCTGCTGTCCTCCCCACTTGACTTTCACCTTGCCCTTGTGACTCACTGTGTAGCCAATGACTGTGGCTGCAAAGCCAGGAAGCTCGCTGGCTGGAGTTGGCCGCGGCCCAGGCCTTCGATGAAAGAACACAACACTGAGTATCACTTCAATCACAGACCGATTTCGGCTTCAGGATGCTGAGGACTGTAGTAACACCAGGTTTCTCCCCTGACCTGATGCTGAGGATGTAAGTAACTTGCCACGCTAGCAACAGTGGACAGTCACGCACAGGGCTGTTTGCCAGTGGCTGCAGCCCAGACAGGGTTTATGTTCATGCTTTCTGTCTCCCTGGACGGCCCTTTCACCCACCGGTGGCTGCCCACCCCCACCTGAACTGGGCTTCTGAACCACTGGGGGCATTTCTCAGAGTGGCATCAGGGTGAGAGGTATTTTTACTTAGGGGACATTTTCCCAGCCCCCCAGCCAACTCTGACACATAAGGCTGTCCTCAGCTGACTGATGGGCAACTGGGAGACCCCACTGCTCACTAGACACCGAGTGACGGGAAGTCTACAGTTCCACAAGACATGCGATCCTCAGAGGAGGAAAAGCTTGGCATTCTTCAACAGATAAGATAAATCGACCAAGAGTGTCGAAATTTGAAAAGACTAGAGAACTCTTCTGGCCCCCAAATGTTTCTAAAATTCTCTTTACAAGACACAGATGTTTCTGAGGAAACACAACATTCATCGTAGGTCTGGGGCTTTAAATACGTAGACGCATCTCTCAACAATAAACTACAGACTGGAGAAAGTCTATGCTCCTGCTTTCTTCCTACTTCCAAGGATGGAAGCCATCGATCATACTTTAATACATCACCATTGATTTTTTTTCTGGATTGGATGTAATTCATCTTTAGACCAGAGAAATGCATAAATTATCCAGTGCAGCGCCATCATCTGCCACGTCATTATTAACGAATGCCGTGGCCCGGGCATGTGGGGCTGCATACAAAACAGGAGAAATGACTGGGCTCCTGCCTGTTGACTGACTTTCAGCATTAGGACAAACCATTGGGTCTGCTCTTGGGGAAGTAGAAAAAATACTTTACTTTTCTAAAGTTTAAACCTCTAGAAACTTCAAGGTCGCAGAAAAGCATGACCCTGAAATTAAAAAGACTTCTCAGAAGAATAGAGGCCCTTTGCCAGCTAGCCAAGAGGAAAACAGCCCAGAGCAGCTGGGGTCTTAGAGATCACCAGCACACGGTGCTTTCAGCAGGCTCTGGCCTGTCCTCCTGGAGGAAGCAGGTGAGTGAAGAGGGGAGTAGCTATATCTCGTGAGAAGAGAAAAACTTAAGGTGGTATTTTGGAAAAGCAGATAAGGATGACGGGTAGGGAGAATCAGTGGGGCAATAGAAAGATGCAGAGACGCAGACCCCTCCCCAGGGCTGCCAGCGGCCTGGGCAACATCTTCACTTCTCCAGTGAAGGTGGGCAAATGGTTATGGCGAGAAGCCTTGTGTGTACATGGGGACACACAGACAGCAGCCCCTGCAGCAAAGATGGTCTTGTTCTCAACTGCCTTCCCACAGGTCAGGATCACACATGCCCTCCTCCCACCCTCATTCCACACCCAAGAGGGGACAGACAGGGGAGGCAACCCACATGGGATTTGAGGGAGGTGACCCTGGCAATGAATTTGCACAGGCTGGAAGGGAAAGTCAAGAGATAGGAAGATCAAAGAGGAGGCAACCCATGAAATGGAAGCAAGGAAAGGTCAAGGGCAGAAAAGACAGAATAAAGAACAGATCAAAAGCTTTATTTCGTGAACAACACATGAAGAGTCAAACTTCCATCTCAGAAATGCCTGTATGTCATCAAAAGTTTCAAATCCAGGCAGCTTTAAAGATGGCGATGTCAAAATATACAGAACATCCCTATGTGCGAACTATATAAAATCTGGCATAGGAAAGTGAAGGGTCACAGACTTTAAAGGGGCTACTGCCCAGATTCTGTCCCTTTTGCAATGCTGCTTAAAACAATTACCCCCCTAAAGAGGCATTGTTGCCAGTAGACATGGAATCTGAAAGGTTTACAGCAACACACAAAAAATGCAGTTTGCTATATTAATATCTCATGTGCTTTAGAAACATTTTATAAATAGCAGAAGGCGGTTTCACTGTTAGCACACAGCTGTGTCAAAATGACATGATTCAAGGTAGGATGCAAGAGGCAGCCCACTTTCGCTCCTCCCCCACACAGCTGACGCTTCTCCCACAGTGTGTCTTAAGGAATCATCATCGCCCTTCATAACAGTGGCTGGCATCACTAGCTATGTGTCAGGCACTGTTAGTCTAACGGCTTCACTTGGATGAACTCACTTAATCCTCAGGCCAACCCAGTAAGAAGTGCGGTTCCCACTTAACTGATGGGTAAACTGAGGCAGAGAGCAGTTAAGTAACTTGCTTAAGAAACAGCAGAGCTAGGATTTGAACCCTGGAAGTCTGGCTCTACCAGGACGACAGAAAAGCCACGGGCTGGTTCCTTTCCTAATTCTTGCTGAGGGACAAGTGGCTCTAGGCTGACCCCAACCTCTGCTGGGGTGATGGGGACCCTCCTCCGCAGGGACTCTTGAACGTATGGCCACTTAAGGAATCCATTCCCCTTCAAATTCACTCTCAGCCTGATGTGAAATATGTGAACAACACATCTCACTCACCAACAGCTGGATGTTGAAAATATCTACACCATAATAACATTAAGAAACATAAATTTCTCTTAAATGTATCAAAACCCATTTACTGACTTTTCTTTTTAAAGAGAAATGAGATGAAACACGCCAACCCCAGTAGGAGCCAATTTCCTAAGCAGTTGGGCATTTATTACATCAGAGATGGGTTCCAAATTAGAGCAGTTACCACTGCCAGCCTCTATGGTCCCCTCCCAGCCCCCAGTAAGACAGTGAGCCCCTTTTGTAGCCAGGGGTATAGCTTTAAATCCCCCAAAGCCCCTAGCCCAAGAGGTCGCACATCGAGGCACTCACTAGATGATTCTGGAATTGAAAGAGACTTCGAAAAGCGCTGATTGGCAGAGCAGCTTCCACCGAGTTTCTGCATAATTCCCAGAAGAGCTTGCTCTGTGCCTTGTTGGGCACCCAGCTCTGCACTCAGGACAGGGGAGGCTGGGGAAGGATATGCTCCCTGCCCTAAGGGCACGGGGCGTCTGCCCGAGGGAAGGTAAGCAAGGGGAGACAGCCCTGCAGGGATGTGGGAATCATGTTGGGCAGAATGGTGAGGACACCCAAGTATCTGGAGAATCAGAAAAGGTAAGAGATCGTGAAACCAAAGGTTTTTTTTTTTGCAGGGAAAGATTCACCCTGAACTAACATCTGTTGCCAATCTCCCTCTTTTTTTCTTTTTTCCCCTCCCCAAAGTCCCAGTGCATAGTTGCACTTTCTAGTTGTAAGTACTTCTAGTTCTTCTATGTGAGCTGCCGGCACAGCATGGCTACTGGCAGACGAGTGGTGTGGTTCTGTGACCTGGAACTGAACCCTGAACCCAGGCCCTGAAGTGGTGAGAATGCCGAACTTTAACCACTAGGCCATCAGGGCTGGCTCAGAACCAAAAGTTTTTAACTTTTCTGGGGTCTCACTCTTTTTTTCAGAAAAAATGCACACAAACACATTTTTTTTCTTATAATTCCAGGAGGCTTCAAAACTCCCGAGCTGCCCCTCCACGGATACACATGGACCCCAAGTTAAGATGTCCTGATTTATTCTAATCCCTTCATTTTATAGGTAGGAAGCTGAGGCCCAGAGCAGTCAAGCCACTTACCAAAGCTCACACAGCAGTTCATGGCACAACAGAACTAGAACTTGATTTCCAGACCCTCCAGGAGAGAAAGAACCCTTCCCAAGGCCCCAAGCTATGGCAGTGTCACTTGACAGGTCCTAACTTTGGGGCCTCAGACCTCACGACAGCAAGGCTGAAACTGCCTGTGATGTTAATCTTGTTCATCAGCCCTATGGCCTCAGAGCCACCCCTGGGTGAAGAACTCGTCTCTGTTAATATGTCATCGCCCATCTTGCCACACTCCAGCAATCAGGCTGGCGACAGCATTTTTTGCCAAGTGCCAAATCCAGATCATAGTTTATTTTAAAAAGTTTGTATTTCATGGGGGTTTCCTCATTGACCCAAATCCCCCAGATTCCAGAAGACCAGGGAACGCTGAAGTCCAAGGCCCGGCCTCGGCCCTTTCCTTTCTGAGCACTGGACCCACCAGGCCCCGGCTGCCGTGCGGCCTTGAGGGGCATTTCTCTGTGGGCACCAGACATGCATCTTATTCTGAACTTTGGGTTCTGATGTTTAAAACATAAGAAACAGATGTTGTTGGTAAGCATTTCTTCCCCCCCAAAAAACTACAGTAAAAGAGGCAATGCTCACTGACAGGAAGAGCTCTGATGGGAGAGCAGACACCGGCCGTCGCTCCCCCTGTTCTTTAGACTGTCTACATCAGCATTTAATGCTTCTAGATATTTAGGTGCAGGAACTTGTCAGCATATTTTCCTCATCAGTTAGACGACCCTCCAATCCTCAGACAGAGATAGGAAAATCCGGTTTGTGCGCCGGTCCCCTGAGAGCCCGTCGCTGCCTCTGGGGCGGGGGCTGTCGACGTCCTGATGATGGACACGGCAGACGCTTTGAAAAGGGAAAGTCGCTGAGACCCTGCAGACTGGATCACTTGA